CCGTGTTACCGCGATCGGCCTTTTTAATATTTGGTCTTGGCAGTTAAAATCACGAGAACAGCGAAATTCTCTACGTATGTACCGTTATAAAATGTACAGGTGACTCAAGAAATAAGCACATTTCACAATTGAATATCTCCAATGAGACCACCAACCCTTTCACAAATTGGTTAATCCGAAACGCTTCTGGTTTTAATTTATTTGTTTTAACTTTTTTAAGTTTAATAATAACAAATTTCTGTCAGGTTTGTTGGTGCATATTCTTTGTTATGAGTACTTTAATTTGTTTTTGAAAATGTTAATTCGTGCTGTATTATTGACAGCAGATACAGCAATGTTAATTGCAGTCTTGCTGTGTTTTACTCGGATGATACAAACATAATATTGGCTTTCAGCTTACGTACTTAATATTTTAATACTTATCGCAGCTTTAATTTGACAATGTGTAGAAATGAAAGAGAAGAATAAATAAATAAACACGTATGGAAAGAATAAATATTAGACAAATCCTAAAGGCACGGGATTGTTTAAACTTAATTATAATATTGACACGACAGCATAAATATAAACATAAATGTTCAATTTGCCGAGTTTTCTACACTACAAGTTTGTTTTGAACCTATCACAAGACCAAGTGTGACCAAAAGAAATTCGACGAAAATAATTTTGATAAACTAGCTGAAACATTCTTAAGTAAGTTATGCATTTTTCGACCCAGATCTTTCTACTGCATTTTTTTACAAATGTCTGTCGTGTTGTCAGTGAGCCGTACTATTTTCTTAACACGAAATAACATCAAACAAAGAATCAGTAAATGGGTCAAATGTGAAAGCGTTAATTCACATAAAGTCGGGCAGGGCACTAAGCCAAATCAAAATACGAAGCAAATGTTAAACACGTGTATTCCGCAACAATTATTTTAAACTAAACACGAACTGAAATCATCAAACTAGACTAAGCAAGCTGTTCATACGGAGTTTATGTTCGAATAGAGTAGACTCCCGATTATCTGAGGGCGTAATTAACCGGGGTATGTCTAGTTTAAATGAAAATTAAGAATTCATTTAGAGAATCTGTTGTGAAAAATGTTTAAAAGTAAATAAATAAATGCAACAGTGAAATTATTTGACGTATTAACATAAATCCATTGTTAATAAAATCTGAAGTTTACGACAATAGAAAGTTATTATTATCCGTTGGGATCACTTTTATAAAGAAACACTTGGTATGTACTGTATTAAATGTTATATATAATCCTTTTCATTAGTAGTAAATCTTTAAAAATTTAAGCAACACATGTCTGTAAATAAACTATCGTATTTATTATATCTGCGTGTTTTTCTTTCGTATTTGCGGATTATGCGGAGTTTCGATTATCCGAGAAAATTTATTTCCCAATCAACCCCGATAATCAGGCGTCTACTGCTCAAGCACTCCCAGCAAAAGTATTGTTCGAGCTTCGCGATGCCGCAACCCAATCATATTTGCTGTGTTTTACACCAAGTACTTTGTACATTTGTACTATCACCAGTAATTAGGGTTAAGAACAATTTCAGGGAAATATATTTTACCGAATAAGAAGATGTGCAGACAACATTAAATGTATTTATTATACGTATCTTCATATACAAAGTGTATAAAATGAGAACGTAATGAGGAGGTCATATCCGGCAGTGCGCCCCCATTTTCCATTTCCAAATCTACGCACATGATTATTATTGTATTTGGTACAGGGGTCTACAACACAAGTAGTAGGCAAATGTCAGTCCATATTGGTAAAATACCGGCTTAACTATTAGTTTATACGAAGCTATATTCAAAATTCGCCAACTTCGTTTTAGAAATGGCTTTCATGTAGTAAAACTTGGCTTATGACATAAATATTTAAGTGATTTCCGTCTACAAGATTTATTTGAAATGTTCTTTATGATGGCGTGTATTTAACAATACACATATTAAAATGATTTACAGTTTCATGTATTTACATATTTTGCAATAGGTGGTTTATATGTGAAATAAATTAACATCAAGGTCACTTAGACATACTGGAAAATATGTTTTGGAGTAAACCTGTCATTGTTTTTCTTCTACTTCAGGTTATGGTTTATGTTGTGGGGAGGGGGGATTAAAATCATAAATTGCAAATGCAGATCGATATACAACTTCATACCAAATGAGATTCAAAAGCCTGAAGAACAAGAAACGTATCTTAGGCGACAGGCAAGAAGGGCTTAAGTCAAACGTAATTTGTATTGGCTTAAACTCTTCTTAACAAATGGTCTAACCGACAATTGTGCGTTTAGAGTCTGAGCTAGAGTTTTTTTACCGACCAACTGACAGCCAGTTGCGCTATGCATACTTGGAGTACCAAGCACGGCAGGGCATCGACGAGAGCTAGATGGAAATTTTATAAGGTGGTCAGAGACCGATGCCCTATAATGTAGTATAATTATTGAATTAAAATAGAGTATTTTTAAAGATATTGTAAAATTGTTGCGCCCCCTTCTATAAATCTTCTTTGTGAAATTATATTTCTGATAAGATTGATTTCTTGTTCTTGATCTTGTATGTTAATGTTGGAATGTTTTATTTTTTTTATTGCTTTCTACTGATTTTAATTATGGTAGGATCAGTATATTTTGTGTTCATTTTGTTATATTTTCTGTATTTTATATAAATTAAGAAAAATTCACTACTATAGCAGTTCCCGTAGATAAGATTTTACGAGACGAAAGAATGTTACTTATGCTGTTGCTTCTGGAGGGACACAGGACTTTAAAAAATAAGCTTTTGACAGATTTCGCTTTCGAACCTTATTATCATAATCTATTTGAAAATCACGGTTGGGTAATTGAATGCATTGTTAAATAAACTAGTTCAACAAACTAATATATTGGGCCAAATGGAAGAAGCTAATCTCATTCCTCGAACATTTATCCAATGGATCCTAAAGATTAGGCTTTGTACTTTTACCTGATGACGGACGAAACGTTGAGTGCTTTTTAACTAATAGACTAGGAAAACGTAAAAAATAAGTATCAGTTCAACGACACACATTCGTCAAAACTGTGGACTAGTCAATGAAACACGCAGATCAATATTTTAAAAGGTCAATTAATTAAAACAGCAAATTAAGTATAATATTTGTAAGCAGATAAGCCTTTTAAAATTACAAACCTAAATGCAAGAGGAAATATTCTGAAGAATTCAATCGCTTTTGCTTGCTCAATATACGGACGTCGTACTTCGTAATTTTGCTCTGTGCCAAAGTTTATGTCGTAGCTACTTGTGAATGGACAGCCGAACGCCAAAGAAGACGTCATAAGCTACCGATGTGGATTTCACTTTACATATTCCTAATACCCTCGTGGCTGATTTGTTCACAGACACAATGCTTTAGTGTGCGATGATGTTACATTACTATGTGTAATTTTATAACTGAAAGTATTATGTCAATTAGATGAACGGCTACGCGACAGATGACCGGGGTTTAATTTCCAGCAGGGTACAACGTCCAGGGCTTACTCAGCTTCCTAAGAAAATGGCTCCGGGGGTCTTTAATAACGTAAATTAAGGACGTCCCGCTACAAGCCGAGTAAGCGCTTGGGGGGAGAGCTGTATAGCTCCTACTCATTCTTAACCTCGGCACTAGATAGGGATGAGTAGTCAGCGTCACGCCCCGGCCGTGCTTTACCCCAGGGGAAAGGACCCCGGTACCCATTGGACAGGAGGCTGGGTGGGCTCCAGAGTCGGTCTGGACGCAGAGGTTAGATGAAAAATCCTCTGGCCCCGTCGGGTATCGAACTTCGGTTTCCAGTCGGTGGTCAGTCACTATATTGGCTGAACTTCACTACTCTACCGGGGGTCTTTACCCGGGGTAAAGGGCTAGAGCGTGATAAAGAACACTGAACATCCACCGCCATCAAGTGCCAAGGTTGAGGCTGAGCAGTCCTTACCTCCGCTCGCCAAATAGCCTGTGCTTTCACGGTGTAATGCTCAAAAACAAGGGAGACGTTTGTCTTAAAGTGTAGATGTAATGGAAAGAAATGTCTTCTTGCTTTTAGTTGGAGGTTATCCACATGAATAACTAAAAGAAATTATTGTACCGTCGGATTAAGCACATCTACGGTGTTAAACACAAAAAAGTGACCTTTGGTTTTGGTAGTTACCATATCAGAATACCATTTTGTACCATACCAAAGTTCGTGTGAAACCACTGAATGAAACAAGGAAAATTGTCTCTAGGATACAAAAGTTCAAAAGAGAAAACAGGTTGCAAATGGCTGTGTGGAACGAGTCTCGGAAGAGTGGTCAGTTAGCACTAGAACAGGAATGTCCTTGGATCCGAGAAAGCTGCCTTTCCAGATACACAGACCTAATTATTAATTTCGAAGAGTGCACATTAATAAACGATTCTGTATTTTGAGGGTCAGTCAGAACAGCAGCGAAGATGTTCCACAAAAACAAAATTTTTAATATTTTCCGTATCCCAGTAAAATTAGAAACCAGAAACACGAAACGATGAAGAATGTTACAAGGTTGAATATAATCCAAAATTACACGATAATTAAATGTTTTGTAATTCATGAGATAATTCATTGTAAGCACATTATACTGAATGCCTAAGACAGTGTATTAGATGTAATGCTTAAACCTTCACCGATTTTCACTTTATGGGAGGAAACAATATTTTAAGGCGTCCTTGAATGTAGGTATGCCGAAAGAATACCTTATTAATTTCCATAGATGGTGATGCGCTCTACCCACATTACTTTTGGACGTTTCTGGGTGTGCAAGTTTCAATTGCACCAGATGACCCATCATGTGTTTACTTGCTGAGTTGGCAGAATGGATGCCAGCTTTTCTACTCCCACTGATATAACTGCCGGTGCCAGGGGATGTACAGGAACTCACTAATGATTCCAACAGACGTCCACCAGGACGATTGCTGGTTCCTCTTCCCTACCTGCTATCTTTGGCGTCATTTAACTTCGATGTAAAAAAAAATCAGAAGCGTCCAAATTGCTAGCAGAGGGCGACGCATCGAGAAACAAATCAAATTCAAAGTAGCCAGTGAACAGGAAACATTGTTGTGCCTGTGCTATCAGTTTGTCTGTGACTTTGTTAAACTACTTACGTTCGTGATCAATGAAACGTGAGTACATCTTGTGTTATGAAAGTTAAAATAGTAATATTATTTATAAAAGAAATTTACATATAATGAAATTATTTTTTAATGTAAGTTGTCATTTAATACAAGTAGCATAATTTTATCTGGTTTTCGTATGGGTGTGGAACTAGGTCTCTCATCCTGGAGGAAGAACATAGACTATGATTAATACAAGACGAATAATTTTCAAATTTATTGTCTTCAACTCCACTCATCCTTTATATCTATTTGACACTTTTTTGTTTGTTTGTGAAGCAGTGAATGGTCAAAGCGATATTTAAATATTTATGGTTAAGAATTCCAAGACTGATATTGTTCAAACATTTTACTACAGAGTTTGTGGAGATGATAGCGTGTATCAATATATTTATGAATGTGACTGGATAAAATTATTTTAAAGTAACGTCAGAAGGACACTGACAATCAGAGCTGAGAGTCTAGTCCAGTGACTCGCCACATATTCACGAGATGTCACAACGGAGATGTGCTTCCCCGCGCCCCTACATACGTATCCAGAGTGAATCTGGATACAAATGGAGTGAAACATGAAATTGTTTTTCAGTTTTGTCCGAGATCATTTACTGAGAGTTTGTCAGTCTTATTTAACACGTAGCGTAAAACTAAAAACTCTTATAGGCACAGAGCATCTATCTGTCCTCACGTCTTCCCACCCGTCCGAAAGTCCATTCTGTGTGTTATTTAATTTAATTTCTAAATACTGCATTGAATTTTTATTAAATGAAACGTACAGGACCCGATAAAAACGCGTTAAGAATTTGGGCTACAAAGACTCTCAGTTTACGTAAACTGCTTACAGGTAAAAATGACCGAAATGCCTATTAGTTATAGAAGTATTTTATTTCTAATTAGATAACTGCATAATCAAAATTATTCTTCAGAAGCTAATACTCAAGAACTTTCCCGCCTCTTATGGCACGCAAAGGTCCATTATGAATCTCACAAGAGCCAGCCACTAAACCCTGTCCTGTGACAGATGAATCTACTTGATACTCCTCCAAGCTAATTCTTTAAGACTGATTAAAACATCATCTTCGCATCTGTGCCTTTCTATCCAAGTTATCGACTTTCTTTCCAGTGACAACGAACAAACATATAAAACCCTGATCTTTTGTACTGACACAGCGACTTGGAAACAAACAAGGCGGTGGGAGGAGGGAATTATTGGCTCTGGTAAATCATAAGGTAGACAAAATAAGTCAGTTGATTTTCCAGGCTGTTTGCACTTGTGGAGTCTAAAAGCACGTGAGGATGAAAATGTATTTACAGCTTTCTCACAGCTCATTCGGTACACAGCGTAAATAACTGACACTACATTTCGTTAATAAGGTACGCCTTATTACTAGGCCGCTGCTCACGCCAGCTGCGCAATAGCTGTTCAGGTGCGAACATGGCGTATTTAAGAGAAGATTCGCGTGTTCATTCTCAAACATTACTTCGCATCGAATGCTACAATTTTTAAAGCATTTATCAAGAAAGTGCCGAATAAGACAACACAGCAACTGTTACAAGACGTATGTGAGACAAATGCTCATCTAGAGACAAAAATAGCTGAAATTACGGCCGTACAGATTTTAGGCAGTGAATCACCTGTAACAATGGGATACGGCTGAAAATAATTCAGCACTGCCACTGGCCTCATCTTTTCGTGCGTGAAGGGGTTCATGTGTAGTAAGCAGTTACGATTGCGTTTCTCATTATGAATGATTCTAAAAGCTCTTATTAGCCTACTCTATCCTTTAATTACGTTTTATCGTATCCTTATTAATGTCTGCGTAAACACAAATGGCAAAGCGTAATTATACGCGGTGTAGAAGTAACCTATAAGTAAGATGGGCGTCGAATCCTAAGTCCCGAATGATATCTTTGAACGACATAACCTTGGAAACACTTGTGAGCTCTTTTTCATATTCTGTGTCAAGAGCAACCTGGCACTGAATCAAACGGAAACCAGTATATAGAAAAATATCACTGAGAGTACTAAGAATGTCTTTTCTGGGTCATATTGTCTATTCGGCCGATTTTGGCCTTTTATTTTCCTGTTTAAACTAAAAATGAAGTTGGAAGTATACAAATTAGTGTATTTTCCATATATTTCAGATAAAAAAATTTAAGGCAGTGTTTATCAAACAAAAAATTGTAATGACCGTACTCCCCCCCCCCCCCAAATATTTTTATAGGCATAGTCAGGTTGAAGAAAAGTAAATATTTTTGTTCCGAACTGTATAAGGAATTATCATAAATGGGCGTAAAAACATCGATACTGTTATTTATTTGGAGTATAAAAATCAAACATGCTAAAATAAAATGTTAGGAAATGATTTAAAAAGTGAGCTCTCTAAGGATAATCCACAACGAGGAACTTCGTCATTGCAGGTCACATACTGCTCATACAGCAGCCGTCTCCTTAAATCAGGCTCTTCTTGTTATTTTATACACTTCTCGTAAATGAGTTTACTGACACAATTTTGACAGTTTTACAGTCAAATTGCGTTGAACATTGAGACTGATACAGAAACTACCTGTGTTCAGTAGTAGTGTAATCACTAGTCTCGAGTGAAAGTAAGTAGTCTGAGTAACAGACAGCGTCGTTAAATAAATAATAAATAAATATAGCACCAGTAGGTAAAATTTGTTGTTACGATTTATGAGAACTCAGGAAGTATGACACCAAAACTTTACTGAATGAATTAATGAATTAGGGAACATAAACTATCCTTGAATTGACCTTGAAGATCAGTACTCATGTATTTGGGATTCAGCACACAATTCACCCAATCGGTAATGATCTAAATTAATCAATTTATGACAGACTGTTCCACTAAAAATGTCATATTACTTCACTAAAGGAACGGATAGATGCCTTGGTTGTGGCATGGGATTCAGGGAATATCCTGGTACCCAATTGAGCGCTGAAAGCACTACAGAGCGTTCACTAATAAAGTTGAACGCAACTGTCGCTTCCCGGCTCCCGGCTAAAAACTCTATGACTCTCCGCCAGAAGCTACAAGGTATCCCTATATGACTCAAGTATCGCTTCATAAAAACAACTTACTTTTATTACAACAGCGGCTGCCTGGAGTCGGGAATTGACAGCTGCGTTCAACCTTATCAATGAAAGCGCTGTATATATTATGATAATTATAAAAATAGTTTACTCATACATAACAAACCATTGCGAATAGCTTAACTCTGAAATCTAAAACGCACCTAAAATCACGTCTTGTTAGAAATGACGCTGTAGCTTAAATAAATTCGTGTTGCTTGGTTACAGTTGTTGAAGAATGGGCATGATTACCCGCGTGAGAGCAAGGCTGCAGAGTATCAACACTCTAACGAAGATTGACCCACGCATCCAGGACGAGAAGACAGCACAAACAGGTGAGGACATCACCACAGTACGCTGTCACATTAATCTCTATTTGGCACGACGAACTTCGGGTGGTCGGTTTCCACGGACTGTCACTGCTATACGTCTCGCCAAATCATTAACATTAATTTTATGGGCTGTTTGTTACCAACGTATTATGAACAATCCGTCTGTAACTTGTAATTTTATTCGGAACAATTCTATAGATAATGTACCCACTAAAGTGATTTATAACCTGTGCCTGACATCATGTAGCTGAGTACTTCTTTAGAAATTGACAGAAATAAATTGTTCGCCTTTTATTGAAACCAAAGGCTTATTACCACAGCGTTCAGAAAAAAAATGTCACTTGTCAATATCCCAGGACAGTTGTTTCCGTCTACACTCTCGCACTGTGATTCT